GAAGCTCATCTGAAACCTGTCCACCATGGGTGACCCTGCTGGTTATTTAAAATACCGGTGGCATAGCCCTCAGAATCACAGCAACACACTAAGTGACACTTAACGAGTTGACATCTATATATCTTCGAGAATAAAATTTTGGTCTGCTCAAGTATTTTTCCCATATTTTAAAAAATTGGGTTGTTTGTTTTCTCATTATTGAGTTTTTAAGAGTTCTTTATATATGTATTTTTTTAAATATTTTATTGTGAGTTATGTGATAGTTTACATGGGAGAACATTAGTTCTACATTCATCCTATTGTATATCGTTTCATTTTTCTTTATATTTTTGAGATGTAAATATTTTCTCCCAAATTGTGCTTTGCCTTTCATTCATTCTTTTAATGATATCCACCAAAGAGTAAAAGTTGTTAATTAAACGAACTTCAATTTATCAATTTTTTTTTTTTTGGATCATGTTTTTGTTTTTACAACTGAAAAATCTTTGTCTAACCCAAAGTGACGAAGATTTTCTCTTTTCTTCTTGAAGTTTTATATCGTCATTGTTGTTGTTAAGTGCCGTCGAGTTGGTTCCAACTCATATGTAAAGACCCTGTATAGGGTGTTCCTGAGGCTTTAAATCTTTGCTGGAGCAGAAAGCCTTATTTTTCTGCTGCAAAGTAGCTGGTAGGCTTGAACTGCCTCATAAGGTTGCTGTATTAAATGCAGTAATGGTTGTAAAGTCCTTAGTATACAGCCTGCAAAGAGTAAATGCTCAATAAATTGAGCCTCACATGAACATTTGCCTTCATAATGTCTGTACTATCACTTTGAAGACTAATGTGTACCTGACCCAAGCTAAGGTCTTTTCAACGCTCTTGTTCTTGTAAAATGCTGTTGAGTTGGTTCCAACTCACAGCAACCCTGTCTAGGGTTTCTGAGGAGTGGCTTGTGAGTTTGAACCATGGACCTTGAGTTCAAACCAACCTTGAGATTGGGTGCTTTCCCTAGACTCTCAAACTCTAACTAGTGAAAAAGAACACATTTGAATTATAGTGTTGGTGAAGAATACTGAATATACCATGGACTTCCAAAAGAACAAATAAACCTGTATTGTAAAAAGTACCTCCAGAATGCTCCTGACAAGCAATGAAGGTGAGGCTTCAGCTTGCTTGCATTGGGCATGTTCTCAGGAAAGACCAGTCTGTAGAAAAGAACATCATGAGTCTTAAAGGAGATGGTCAAGGAAAACCCTCAATGAGATGGATTGACACAGTGGACTCAAATATAGTAATGATTGTGAGGATGGTGCAGGGATGGGCATCCGTTCCTGCTGCTGTAAGTAGGATTGACGTGAGAATGTTTTGAGTCAATATAGCAACTTAAGCAACCTCTAGAGGTGCCCTCCGTCATTTTCACTGCACAGATTTAGTAGCTGTCATCACAGAAAGACAGAAAAGCAGTGCAGGAAAATGCCTCTGCAGATGGCCTAGTCTAACCTACTCCTGGGATCAAGGGAAGAAGAGGGGGCACAGAAAGAGGATTGGAAGACCACAGGTCACGGGAAGAGCCAGCCCTGGAAGATTGTTCTTCCCACGCAAGCCACAGTTTTTCTGAAACCTGTGATGGGATGATGGGAACCAGGGTTTTTACTGAACTCCTAGGCTCTTGGATACAGCAGGGAACAAGACAGACACAACCTGAGTCTCAAGAGCCCACAGGCTGGGGGTGGGGGGAGGGGGACAATAAACATATCATTACATAATTAATGATTGAATTAAGGAGAAGGGCAGGTGCTGGGTAGGGTGGGACGGGAAGGTATTGTCCTCTGTGCCAGGCCTAGGGGCTCTCAAGGCTGGGGATGAGGGTGTGCAGGCCAGGTGCAGGGCCCATGGATGACGTCAGCATAAGAGCAAGGTGGAAAGGCGCTCGTGGAGGTGGGGGCTCCCAGAGAGGGGCGATTCATCTGAAATCCATACATTCGATCAAGAAATAGTCATGGGGCGCCTACTGTGTGCCAAGCACCCTGAGGATAAACGCGCCCCTGCCCTCTAATGTATTTGGGGAGTCACGATGGCAGGAAACACGTAACATATAAATAACGAAGATCTTTTCAGCCGGAGCCGAGGGCTTGGAGAGTCAGAGACAGGGGGCAGGACCGCTCCAGAGAGTGGGTTCCCAGGGCAGGGACACGTCCTACATTTGTACTCGCCCTTCGCGGGGTCCACTGACCCCACGCCCCCGCTAACGCTGCACCCCCGTTCAGCCAGCTTACGCCCCCTGGCGGGAGCCCTGAACCACCAAACCGCGCCAGGCGGGGAGGGGGCGGGGGTGCCGCGCACGCGCACGGGCCGGTGGCGCGCGCCGAGCGGGGGGCACCGCGCTGGTGCAGCCACGATGGAAGGGGGTGCGTACGGGGCGGGCAAAGCTGGGGGCGCCTTCGACCCCTACACCCTGATCCGGCAGCCTCACACCATCCTGCGCGTCGTGTCTTGGGTAAGAACAGCGGGGCCCCGGACCTGGGCTCGGAACGCGGGCAAGGGCGGCAAGGGCGGAGCGCCCGGACCGATCCGGACCCCACTGGACCCCCGGCAGGGAGGCGTTCGCGGGCGGAGCTTAGTTCTGTTGGGGTGCCGGCGCCCAGCCCTCTTTCTCCCGGCTCCTGGACTGAGGTCCCGGGGCAGGCGTGGGGGGTGGGGGGGAGGCGCCCGATTCGGTTCCGAGAGCCCTTGTTTACTAGATGCCCCCCTGCATCGCCATGACCTCCAGGCCGCGGCTCTGCGGCTCGTGACTTAGGTTGCGCACAGGCGGACCGGCGCCCGTGGGGACAGAGCTGGGGTTTCAGGTAGCCTTTTTTAGCGCTGGATCAAGGCGTGGATCACCTTGCTGGGCGGGGGGAGCGGGGAGCACGGCGCGCCTGTCATGGGCGTTCTGGGAGGAGAAACCGAGAGAAATGGGATTTTGTTGCTCAGCGGAGACGTTGTGCAGCTAGCTAAGTGTTGGGAACCGGATCGTTGGATTCCACCTGGGAACTGCCTCCTTCGCGGCGTGACCTTGGGCTGGGAACCACCCAAACATGTTCACGGGGTACGAGGAATTCATTTTGAGGTGGAAAGCCTATCTCCCGTCATATATCTCAGTTTCCCAATTTGTAGAGGATGGGAGGAGCCTGTTGGAGGCCTTCAGGGGCTATGACATTTCATGAATTCATGATCCCTCCCCCTCCCTACTTATACATTGAATGGGGATGATTTGTAGAAGAAAGGTCCCCTCTGGCAGTAAAGAGAAGAGAGGCCCCGTCTAGACCCCTGGCGCAGGTCCCTCCCCATCCCAGAGGGCTAAGTAGGGTCCCTGATAAGACCTGAGGGTGAAGGAGATGGGGCAGAGAACACAGATGTGGGGATCAGGGCCAGCCTGGGGAGGGAAACCTGGGGTTCTCTGGCCATTGCTCCTGACCCCCCCACTAGAGAGGTCCCCTTTCCTGGTGGGTCCAGACCAGAGGAGTCTGGATTGGGGTACTGTTAAGCAACCCCAAGGATCTAAGCATTAGGCCAGGTGTGACCTTGGGGTGCTCAAGGTCCCCTCCTTTCCCTGGTTTTCCATGCCCATATTAGGGTCTGGTTCAAGCTCAGCAACCACTCCTTGGAAACTCTGTACTCCTCCTATAGGCTGGCGGTTCAAGCTCACCAGCAGCTCCTCAGAAACACTAAACAGGGTCACTGTGAGTCGGAACCAACTTGACACTTAACAACAATTAGGGTCTGGGTGGATGGAAGATTTGGGTATTTACCTCTGACCTACCTTTTCTTTGTCTGAAAAGGTTCAAACTTCCTCCTCATGGCCCACGTGTAAACACATCTCAAATGCCACCTCTCTGAGGGCAGGGAAACCTGTCTGCTGCTAGTCTGTGTGTCCAGGACGCTGGGCACATCCATGAGGGTTTGTGGCACTGAATTAATCATCTACATCAGTCTCTGACTTCCCAGAAACACCTGGGGCACCTGCTTGATTAGGTGGGCTGTTTCTGTGCACCGCTCCCTTCTGTCATCTCTGGGTCACTGGGCAAAGCTTGATTGAATCTTCTGCCCCTAAGGAAGGTGGTGTGACCCAGACTGGCAACTCAGGGCAGAGGTGAGCCAGGAGGGGGCTCTCCTACTGTGGGCGTCAGAGAAGGTGACATGGACCAGGAGGATTTAGATCGTGTGCGGGTGTGGGTCTCTGGGCCAGCAAGCTGCCAGAGTAGCCACTGATACTGCTAGCCTGCTAGTTCTCCCAACTGTCTGTTACTGAGGTAACTGACATATAACTGACTGAGAATTGCAGCCCAAGTCTTCCACTGAGTTCTGTGGCTCCCCTAGCAGAAGCCAGTTCCCGAATCCCCCCGCCTTTCACACACCAGAGACAGCTCACTCACTACCTTTATGTGAATTTTCTGAGTTTTGTTGAGTCGGTTCAGACTTTTAGCCACCTGATACAGGTTTTTCCAAAGGTGGTGGGGTTGAATTGTAGCCCTTACAGCGCCACACCAGGACCCCATAAAAGTAATGTTGCTGTTATTCTTTTAAGTGCCATCAAGTCAGTACCGACTTACAGCGACCCCGTTTAGGGTTTCTGAGGAGCTGCAGGTGAGCTTGAACCGCTGGCTTTGCAGTTAAAAAAAAAAAAAAATTAAGAAAATAGAAAAGTCTCCTGGGATCCTACCACTTGGAGAGGGCTGTGTTGCATCCCATCTCAGTCCCATGTGGTCCCAGCTAACACAGTTGGCTCATGTTCTTTGCCCTCAGAATGCCCACTGGGGACCCCCTCAGTCTGACCAAACTGGGACAACTGGTCCCTTTCCCCAGGGCCCCTCCTGTGTCCAGGCTCCTCCACAACCCTAGGGAAGCCAGTGGTGTTTACATGTTGTGAAGTTTGCAAAGGGAAGATGTTTTTCCAGTATTTTTCCTGATGCAGTCTGTGCCGTAGGGTAGATTCTGACTCACCGCGCCGCTTAAGGACATCATAGAACTGCCCCATAGGGTTTCAAGACTATCGGAACAGACCATCGCATCATTCTTCAGCAGAGTGACTGGTGGATTCGAACCTCTGATCTTCTTTGTTATCAGCCAAGAGCTTTAACTACACTGCATCTTTTTCCTGAAGAGAACCCCCAAACTGTAAACACTTGAGGGCCTCCCCAGCCTGTGTCCACCCTAGACTCAGCCCTTGAGCTTGGCTGTGGGTCTGCATAGTTCAGTCTCCCCTAACCCCAGCTAGGGCAGATGTGCCCTCTAAACCTCTTTTCAGTTCCTTTGCTCCTGTCCGCTGGGGGAGCGGGGATTGGCTAAACCTAGCAGGGTAGTGGTTGTTTCAGGTAAGAAGGGAGTTAGTGAGCCCTCTGTCAGTTCCAACTTGGTCCCTTCCAGCCCCAGGATGGAAGAGATGGGCTTAGAGCGGCTTCCTCACCCAGGTGAGGCAGGGAGATGACAGAGCTGTGCAGGCTGAGGTGGGGCTGGTGCAGACACGGGCACTCCTGGCTTCTCCAGGTACCAGCAGTGACCTTCCGCACATGTCTGTATGTGAATAAGGAGATAGGGCTAGGTCAGAGGTTCCCTGTGGCTAGAACAGTCTCTGGTCAATGACTCATTTCTTTGTTCTGAAACCAGATGGAGAGATGGACACATTAATTTGATAGAAAGGGCCACCTTCTACTGACATTTATGTTCTTACCTCCTGGAGTCCTGGTATGACACTATAAGATAAGCACTGGATGCTAACTACGAGGTTGCCACTTCATACCTACCAACCGCTCCTCGGATACCCGTACTGGGTCGCTATGAGTGGAAAAAACTTGACAACACTTAACAACATCAGCAACGTTCTTACCTTTTAGGGGTTGAAGTAACCCAAGGGAAAGATCTTGGTGCTGGTAGGTAAGAGGTTTTGGTTAACGCTCTGTCTTAGCAAAAGAAAACGTTTGAAATCTCATCGTTTTCAGGATCCTTGGCTGTATGTAACATCCCTGATTCTGTAAGTAGCGCAGGCATCATTGCCCCCATTTTAAAGATGGCAAAACTAAAGCTCAGCCTAGAGAAATGACTTGACTTGCCAGCTGTCTCCAGGTCCAAAACCATCAAAGTGCAGCTTGAACCCGGTCTGCAGAGATCACCTTCACTGTCCTCCTGCTGGCCTCCTTGGCTGAGTGGTTGTGGTAGCGGGGGAGCTGTCTAGCTTCATCAGCCTCCTCCCCCATCATCCTAAGTGCACACTGAGTTTACTTGCCTTGCAAACACATAAGTTTCAACACAAGACCTGTCATGCCCTGACCCAGATCACAGCACCCTAGCCATCCCTGTTAGAAATTCTGGAGCCCTCTGCAGCGGGTAGACGGAGGGTCTCTGCCAGGTCCCTGCTTGGTGCCAGGCTCTGCGTCCCACCTGTGATGTGAGGACAACAGAACTGAGCCAGCAGCCACTGTCCAGGAGGCCCGGTATTCTCCTAGATGGAAGTCAGTGTGTGTGTGGGAGTGGAGCGGGGGCAAGTAGGAGTGTTAGCAGTAGCTGTCTCTGCCCGGTGTATTCTGGAGGACTTCTGAGCTAGGTTCTGATCAAGAATTGGGAGGCACATTCTGGGTGGAGGGAACAACATGTGTAAATATGTGGGGTCATGAGGCTCAGGGTGTGTGAGTGAGAGTGATGGGTCAAACATCTGGAAGGAAAGGTAGAAGGTGGCCCAAGATAACAGATTCCTGAGTTGGGCTTCACCCAGGGCAATGGGAAGCTACATGGAGAGCCCCAGGGATGGGTTTTGAGTAGGGAAGAGGCCACGTCCCACCAGGCCCCTCCTAGCCCCTGGTACATCTTGTCACTTACACGGGAAGGTGGGTCCATTGGTATTTGTGACCCACAGCCCTGGAATCATCTCGCCTCATGTCTGCCTGTGGTGGACTTCATGCTTCCCCATCTCTCAGGCCCAGGGTGGGGTCAGCTATAAAGGAAACTTTCAAGATGCATTGCCAGATGAGTTTCTGCCCTGGATCTTAGGCATTCTCCTGGGGGGGGGGGGGCGGGCAGCCTGGCGCTTGGAAAGCCCAAGAGAGCCTGGGGTTTGACTGGAAGAGCAGAACTCCTTGGAAAACCTAAGCCTCTGTTTCCTCATCTGTAACCTGGGACTGGGGTTTGAAGGAGGATTCAAAGATCTGTGAAATGTACATTATGGGAGGCCTGTGTTGGGCCAACTTGGTGGCAATAAGACCCTCCTGGTGTGGCGCTATGGGATACACACTGAACTGCTAACTGCAAGGTCGCTGGTTCAAACCCATCAGTGGCTCCTTAGACACTGCTGCGAGTCAGAACCAACTCAGCATGGCACTTCACAATAGCAACAGCCCCGCCTGGACACTCAGAAAGGGGGTTTTGTTAACTCCACCTGACATGAGAAACCAAGGGTCAGAAGCCACTGGAGTTTGTGGAATTGGAATCAGTGGCTGATTGCTAGGACGTGGTCCTACCTTGGGG